TCGCCATCGCCGCAATTGACTTGTTTTTTTTGGCAGCAGCTCAATTCCGGGCAGAGCCGAGAAGCGGAGGACCAAAGAAGCAGAGGCCAGAAACTGCAGTTAAATTCAATTTGTGCCGCGCTGCCTGCAAATGACAGGCAGCCAAAGTGCCATTTTAAGCGGCAGCCAAAAATTGTCGCCCCTCGTCCAAGGACGAAAAGGACTACACTCGTTGTCGTCTTCATTGCAGCATAATTTCTGGCGCGGCTTTGTTGGCGCGATAAAAAAGTTTGCGCTGCTGCCCTTACATCCCTTGTTGTCCCTTTTATTTCCGTTGATTTAATTTTAAAAGGCGCCGCCGCTCTGAAGCACTTTTATTTATATACATTTAGCCGCTGTGGGGCGCCGTTTTGCAAACTGTTTTGGCTCCGTTTAGTTGGCCCCAAAAACGCAGGACATTGTCAGCCAGTCAGCAAGTCGGCCAGCCAGTCAGTCACTCAGTCATTCATTCACTCAGTCGCCGAGCATTTGGCAACAGACACTGTCCAAAAAGCAGCCAACCGTGCTTGGCACTCGTGTTTCGCCTTTGTCAATTTTAATGAATTAATGCGTATTTTATGGGAAAAGTTGCCTGGCCGCGGCATGAAAGTAAATTAAATAAATTTATGCCCAAGGATGCAAGGACGATGGCGACGGCGATGCCGCCACAGCCTGGGCTCTCTGTCTATTATCTAAGCATTAAACCTGTGTGTATTGATACACAATCTGTACAAATTGAAAACGAAATTTGTTTGCCATTTAATGATTGTGCAAACTTTGCCGGCCATTAAAATTATATTAAAAAGTTTACACAGCTGAATGTACTCGGACCGGTTTCAATTTTCTTTAATTTGCATTGAGTGGCGCTTTAAAGTCACAGAACTTGGTCCAACTTTTGACACTTGCCACAAATATAAATCGTCGCAGGCGGCATGAAAAAGTGTCAGGCTTTTGCGGCTGCAACACAAACTGCCAAGACTCATTTTTCACACTACGCACAAACGGAGCGAAGGATTGCGAGAAAATCCGGGAACTTACATAGAGAAAAAATTAAATCTAAAATACACAAAATGTTGCATTTGCATTTTACATTTTAAGAAAACCAGAAAACTTTTAATTAAGTAATTGGCCAAAAGAAATCTTTTTCTCGGCGCTAGCCTATAGACTATTAATAAATATTTACAAATTTAAGGGTTAATTTTATTTCCAAGTGCAGGGAAAATCGCTAAGAGCGCCAAGGAGATGATGCTTGACTGATTGTGCGCGTTTTGGGGCAAAAGTTTTTCGCATTAACTTCCGCTGCACGCCGCGTCGCATTTGAATGCGATTTTGATTTGTCACTCGCCGCCTCGCAACAAAAGCCGCCGCCTACTTAACAGCAGAGTTAGATGGCGCGGCCCGCTCAACTTTTTGCGCCATTTCCGCCGCCCACTTGTCGCCGATCATTGGTTTCCGTTTCCCCTGCTGCAGCTGAAAGTCGAACTGCAGAACTCTAGAACTGTAGAACTGTAGAGCTGCAGAGCCAAGTTAACTTGACGACGTGCACAAGCGCATTTTGAAGTTTATGAAAAGGGCTGAGGCCGAAGCTGAATCCGTCGCTGAAGCTGGGCAACTTTCTGAATAGATTAAGTTGAAAGTTTTGCTCATTTTCAGCAGCGTCCCAATCGAGGACTGTCGCTGAAACGGGGCGACAAAATTATATGCTCCTCTGAAAAAATTGAAATGGATAGAAGGAATATCAGCGTAATGACATCGCGACCAGGTGGCAAAGGAGTCTGCAGTCTCGAGTCTGGAGATGGTAGACAGCAAACCAAAATCAAAACTTTTCCAAGTGTCATTAAAAGTAACCGAAAAAAGCAAACGAGATAGCGAGTGAGTTTATTTCCCTTCGCATTTTCAGTCGCAACTATCAACTATTATCTTGTTGATTTCTTTGCTTTCTTTTTCGGTGGAAACCTCTTTAGGACTTTTACACGTAAGTTCGGCATAAGTTTTGCGTGGATACACAGGAAAAAAAGTTCCAAATGCCCAAATGTGGAAAGAAGGATTACAGCAGTAAATACGACATTCTGGGCCAAACTTTTGCATTGCTTATAAGTTGAAAGCTTTAATTGGAACTCATTGAAATATGTTGAAAGATTGATTGCACTATGCAATTTTTTTCCTAGAAATTTTGAAATTTGTACAGACCCAGCTTGAGCACAAAGGCCAAGTTAAGCCCTTTGTGGCCGACAATGAATGGCGGCAAACAGCAGCAAGCAAGAAGGTCTGCCAATTACAGGCCGAGAAGGCCTCGTTAGCCATGCAGCACAAAAATGTAATTGAATTATGAGAGGCGGCAACAATATCGAGGAAACTAATCAGCCAAGGACCCACAGTAGTCCTGCCAAATGGCCAGGACGTGTCCATGTCCCGCTCGCTAATCAATTTGCCCATTGTGCCGCACTCCTTTGTTTCTCTGTCTCTATGTTGCTGCTACTGGTACTGCTTCTGATTCCGATTCCCATTCTGTATCTGAATCTGATTCTGGTTTTATTTATGAATGCGCCTCGTGAAACGAGTTCGAATTCGAGGCCAGAACATATTGCATGTGATTAATCAGGAGCTCTGGTATCTGGTTATGGTTTTGGGCTTCGGCGACTGCAGCGACAAGCAGACGCAATTTGTGCCGCCCACCGCAGGCGGATAATTGAATTTCAGTTTTGTGCCCGGTCACGAATATAGCATTATAACCAAATACTATACATATAACTTGATTCCCTTGAACTGCCCGTCATCGTCTTAGCTGCTAATGCTATTGCTACTGCTGCTGCTGCTGCAGTCGATTGGTTTCTGCGAATGCCCCTAATTGGCCAACTGAAGTGGTCTTGGGTTTTATGTTGATCCTCTCGACCAGTCGAATAATTAATTAGCTGCATTAAAGCAAACACACTCGTGGCATTGTGTTTTATGGGCCGACCTTATAAGAATGAGGGGCTTCGCATTATATTGTCTAATCAGATTTTAGCTGGGTGCCAGTCCATTAGGCATCTGCGATAGGGAACCATTTATTAGTGGTGCCCCGGAGGAAAATTGTGTGCTGGGAAAGTGGACAAGTGACGGTTCTGGGTGCTGGCTGCTGGCTGCTCGGTGGTTTTGATTAAGAACAAGGTGTTGATTGATTTGGAAACTCAAAGAGACTTAATTATTTTGAAGGGATTATGAGTGCGATTACGGTGGCCGATTGCAATTGTATTGCAAAAGGGAAGCAATTAATTGAGGGATTAAGCTCCTTTTGTTTCCCTTGCTTTTAATAATTTCTCATCGACTTCCATAACGAGTTCTGTCTGGTGGCCCGCCTCCGAAACTAAAACCACAAAAAGTTTCAGTTGTGTCGAATTTTCCACACATATTACTTTGCGAAGTTTGCACTGCTCACCGCAGCTGAAAAGTTAGGCCAGTTAATTAAAAACGAGCTCAAGTCTGGGGGCGAATTTGTTGTATAAATTTAGCGTCCTTAATGAAAAATCCACCCATGAGTGCTGTTAACCTGATGATGAAAAGTAGGTAAAGCCGGAGACGACAACATATTTGCGATTATTTCCCACGCGGGCACTTAAGGCATAAAGAGCAATAAATTAAGAGACGAAGGCAGCTGCGAAGGCGAAGGATGTCCTGGCAAGAGGATGTCTTTGAAGCCGGCTGCTGGGATCCTTGAATCCTTGGACCCCGAAGGCAGCGGAGAGCCACTTCAGGTGTAGATGGAAAATGTAATTATTTCGTAGATTTGCTCCTGCCATAAAATAAACACGCGGAAGAACGGTTTTTGCAGATCCGGAGCCGCGGGATAAAAAGCTACCAAAAATCCGCGGAGCACTTCAAAAGGACAAGCCCCCGAAATATTAAACGAACGTTTGGCGTTGCACACAGAATATTTTTTATCTTATTTGAACAAAAGCTTATTTAGAGAAAGCGAGTATAATGACTAGAGCAAGTTAAAGTTTGACACGCATAAAAGATGAATGAATATGCAATGAATTGCAAACTAAAGTGTATATTCTCGATGTTTTTTTGAGTGTTCGCTCGAATAAATAGTTTCTGGCAAAATGAGTTCAACGTTTCTCAAAAGAACTGCGAGCAAATAGCGAGGGGCGAATGAAAGACGGAGACGGAGACGGAGGCTGATGCTCATTAATTAAGGAAGTGGCAAATGAAAAGCCTGCGAAAAACGCTCCCAGGACGTCTTTTTTTGGTTAGTGACCTGATGAGCAGACGCAACATTTCTGAGCCGGGCACAAGTATATATATATTTGTACGTTTGTAGGGTAAGGCAAGGTAACCCCGCTTGAATCGGGGGTGTATGTATATAAATCAGTTTTATTTGCTTTCACTTGTTCTGCTCTAATATTTTTTTGGGCCACTCGCCCGGCATCATTTGTTTGCCTCGGCGTCGACAGCGGCTTGTGGCTTTCAACTGGTCCCGGTCCCCGATGCAGTTTGTTTTTCCCCCTTTTTTGCTGCTCAAACAAAAACGTCGAAAATTAAATTATTAATTTATTGCCCGTTGCTTGGGAGCCACAGCCCCAGCCGCAGTTTCTATGGACCATTCCATTCACTCGTGATTTCCAGAAAACCAGCCGGAAAAAACAAAAGCAAAGCCAGAAATAAGAGAAATTCACATTGCTGTGGCACAACATTTCGCGGTTTCCTTCGACATGCACCCTCGGCTCGCTAATTATTCATAAATTAGGCGCAGAAAGACGGGGGACTTCATTTGCCGCCTGTTTGTTTATTTAACAATTTGCTCGACCGGCACAAGTGCGGCAAAATGTTCTTTGATTGGAGTTAATGTGCTGCCAGAACGGGGAATCGATGCTAGAAAAGGTTTTTGGAGTGGCTAAAGCTCTGGTAATTAGAAAGTGGTAACCCAGGCGATTTCCAAATTGGGAGATCTTATACTTGCATATATTATATTTACTAAAAGTCCTTGTGCGGCTACTTACGATATTTCTCCGAATGGGGTGAATGCATCTTTCAGCTGTTGCGTTTCGATTTCGGCACTCAGATCGCCCACAAAAATGTGAAACTGTTCTGTAAAGACAAAAAGGAAGACAAATTTAGCGGCAATTACGGTCTGGGCAAGAGTTAAACTACGGTTGCTTAGTCTCGCCATTGGCGACCAGACAAGCCACACTCGACGATGGCCCAGACAGACACTTGAGATGCCCAAGATGGCCATGTGTGCCCGGCCAAGTGGCGACTGCCTGAAATCGCAACGTGCAATTGTCCACCCTCGAGTTTCGAGTTTCGAGCCCCGTGTCCCCGTTTTCCCAGTTGGCCGGTGTCTGTTGCTGATTTGGGGCTTGACATTATCAAATGCCGACTGTCAGCCGGGCTGCCTAGGATCTCGCCCCCGAATCCTAGCCCGGCATCATTTCCCTGAGACCCGTAGCCCGTCACTCCAGTTGCCACTTTGCTTGCCGGTTGTTGCCGGCTATTTTCGGCACTCCGGCTCCAGCTCCAGCTTCAGCTCCAGAGCCAGATGCAGATGCAGAGTTTCTGGTTCCGCATCCGGTTGCAGCTGCAATCGCTGGGTGAAAAGTGCCAGGAGCCGGCTGCCAGGTGGACACGAGTGCCATCACAAGTGCGCCAACGTGTCATGTTTGCATGCACGCGCTGCCAACAAACACGGGCCAACTTCTATAAAGAGGTATGCTCCAATTGGTACATGTACTTTCACTTCTAATTGTTTTAATGATGTTTTAGCTTTAAAGCACAGAGTATAATCATTACACAATATATTACTAAAGCGATTTATGTAAAATGTTTTGCTTTGTGGGTTAATTGAGCAGTTTTGTTGATTTTGTGAGGCTTGCCTGTACCCATAGACCAGCGCAGACCATCCGGGATCCCGAAACTGCTTTTCGGCTCGCGTCCGTGCCAAAATGACATAGTTTCGCATTACAAGGAAATTGCACTCGAATGTGCCACAGCCACACCAACACCCCTGCCCCACCTCCTCATGTGTGCAGTGGAAGCAGAGTTGACAAATATGCCAAAAAAGAAAACTCCCCCAGCGACATGAATTACAATTCGGATGGGTGGTGGTGCTGCGCGTCGTCCCGTAGCCGTGGTGCTTTCATTTGGCCGTCCGTTTGTCCGCCGGAGCGGCAGGAAGTTGTGCTAAGCGTCATTTCCGTTGTTTTGAGTGATTGCAATTGAGATACGGTTTTTGCGGTTTCTTTTTTCGAGCACCGCTGGGAATCGCTGTCTCCCTGTCTGGCCAATGGAGCACGTGTCGACGCTTCTCTTTCACTTAAGCGGTTTAAATTCCACTCGAATCGGATGTCTGCCTAATGTGCTGTAAAATGTGACCTTTGAGCACTCTGCAAAAAATCGAGCGCCCGGAAAGTGTATTTTAAAGTTCAAATAATTCATATTTCGAACAATATTTCACATCCTTAGACGTTGACTTAGGAACCATCAGCTTATTACTTGTATAAAGTAGTAATGAATTAACAAGTATATTTTTTTTAGTAATTTTTTGTTATCAGACTATAAGTATCTTGAAACAGTCTGTTAAAGTCCATCAGTCACAAGCAACATTGGTTTCCGTGTAGGGCACGCAAAAAGGATTAAAGCGAAAATATTTGACTGGGTCGGGCATTCGACTGGAATGGAATGTTGCCGTTTTGATGTTGACACTCAAATGCCTTTATCTCGGTGGTAATAAATTGTTCGGCAAATCCCCCAAATCAATCGCTGACCAATTTATTTTATGCAATCTCTGCATCTGACACAACCCCAACCCCTCCATACCCGTCCAACGAACCAAGCCAACAATTTATTGCCCTAACTAACAAAACTGCAGCTGCAATCGCTGCGTATACAAGCCTTCCCCTGACCTTTCACCCGTTCGACGTTCCCCGCTCGGAACAAAAACAAACCGCGCCGAAAACAAATGCACATTAAATCTGCACCAGTTACAAATTCTTGTTGGTTTTAGTCAACTGGTCAGTCGCAAAACAATTTGGACAGGGCATTTTATTTGCCAGCGGCAGATTTTTCAGCGTTTTTCCGCGCTGTGTGTGGGCCATTCAACGGGTCCGGGCCAATTAAGTTCCAGTCCATAAAATTTGCATCAAAAGGCGACCATTGACCTTTGGGCGTGTCCATAATTAAGAGTCCAAAAATATACCCATCCGGTGCGGCCTGCATTACGCACAGTTCGGTTCCACAATTAAAGAGTCCGCGTCTCCATTAAAAGCCGGGCCAACTTCCCAGCGAGCGGGCATAAAGCAGCTGGCCAAAAGGAATTCACAGCCAAACACCAGAGCACGAAAATGAGCGAACATCAAGGACTTCGGCTTGGGGGCTTGGGTCTGAAATGCCGGGTGGTACGTAATTCGACATAAAAATATCGTAAATCTTAAATTAGAAATTTCGCACATTAAAAACTTGGAAATTGCATTTGGCTTTCTGGCTTCAACTTGGTCGTTGAAGCTCGCATTCAGGCAAAAGGCGAGAAATTCAAGCGGAAAACATCCTAAAATCTACATGAGAAAAAATAAAGTCGCTACAACTAAGAAATCTCAAAAATAATAAAGTGAAATTATAAGTAAATAGCCCATTTTCAAGGTTACTAATGCTTCTTAACAAAAAATGTTTATTTTAAAGAAATTTATTGGCTACCCAATTTCTTGAACAAACAGCCTATTCCTTTAAGTGTAGAAGTATTTTGGCCCGATTCTGTTTGTATTCCTATGTGTATGTGTGGCAACCAAACGAAGCTTGAGCCAAAGTCGGCGAGGAATCAAGGATCCCCGGACTGGCCTGCATAATGCCCATTGGCGCACATTTTTAATGAGTTGGACATAAAAAAGTTTTAGCTTTTGAAAAGCTGCTGTTGAAATGAAGCCAATGAAACCCTCACAAACACCCCAAGCTCGAGGGAAAATGAGAAAAAGGACGCTGATGAACAGAGGCCTGGTCTGCGGACCATTGTCTCGGCGGGGATTTGAGTGTTGTCCTGCATGTCATCTGCTGTTTTATTGCATAATCGTGAGTCAATCAGCGGCCAGAGGGAATCCTTGCCGGGAATCCTCCTCCAGCTCCTCCAGCTCCTCTACACCTTCCACCCTGCAATATCCATCCCCTGTTCCAGTTGATCACGCATTCGACGCTAGTTCGACCTTCATCAATGCACGTCAGCTAATAAATACGTGCTGCATTTTGCCCTGACCTCCCAAGAGAAAAAGCCAGAGGACAAAGGGGGAATTGTTCCCCCATGCAATTAAATTTCACTTCAGCTATACCAGTTCGCTTTAATTTGCCGAATTTAATTGAATTGCGAGCACATCAAATTGCGCATACGCCCGGTGGTACGCAAATACACGCAGACGAGCGGGTGGAAAATGTGGAAAAACATTGCTTTGCGATAAAAATGTACACTAATTTCGTTGAAATTATAGATTTGTATGGTAATGCGTTTCAATTTGCCGGCATTTCTAATTCATTTCCTGCGCTCTCTCTCGATTATCGAACCAAATTCAAATGATGAGGCATTAAATGAGAAGTGGCTATCTAAACGGCTTTGTACTCAATTTGGGCGGTAAATTGGCGATTCGCGGTAGATCAATGCACATTCAATGCAGTACTACGGCACTTTATGAACTTGTAATGGTACTGACTTTGTATATGAATCCTTCTGAATTTGTTTAATAATGTATAGCACTGTCATCCGCTTATTTACCTTGAATAGTTTGGCACACATCATAGTTTCTATGATTTTTTTTAAGGCAACCCTTTAAGCTTTTTGCATAAGAGATGAATGAGCACGGACAGATGTATCCCAGTTGTACGATCATAGTATTGCAAGGTGTTGCATAAGCTGTAGTCATATTTTTTGTTGGCTTTTCCTTCTTCGCGCACTTGAACTGTTTTTTCTCGGCTGGTTTTTTGGCGGTTGTCCAAACCGGAGTGACTACAAATGTGGTTGAAATGTGCGCGAAAAGCGGCAAGCCGCAAAAGTAGCTGAACAAACACAAATGTGCCAGGCCAAATCGACAGAGAAAAAGCGATAAAATGGGTTGTGGAACGGAGGTAAACACCACTACATGTTCACCGACAAATGTGACGGACATGGACATGTGTATGCCCCCACATTCCACCCACCTCCCTCACTCGACGGCAGAAAATGCAAAATGCAAACACAAATATAAACACAGATGCTAACTAACCACATCAACATATCTGCCTGTGTGAAGTTTAGACTGTTGTGCAAACATATGAAAATGGAGATTTTCACAATGGTCCATTTTGATGTATTTTACTGGAAAATTATGTTACAATGCCACTTGTATTTGCATCGCTCGAAAAGCGGAGCAATTATATCGCAAAAAGAAGAATAACGCTCCTGCGAATCGCCGTACGTTTTTCATGCGAACCCTCGACATTGCAAATGCATGGCCTCTTGAATTAAATCAACAGCAGCTCGAGCTGAAATCGCCGTGTAAACGAAATGGGAGTACATTCCAGCTATCCCCGATCCATTTTCGAGTGCTCCGGGCCATATTATAGCCATGGGCAACGCATCTGCTGGAGAGTCCTTGGCGTCCATTGTTGTCCGAATATAATTCATGGCGCAGCCAGACAACTCGCATCGTCAAGCTTTTCGGCTGTAATACATGCGGAGTAGCAGATAAGCAGGGAAAGGCATAAAAAGGTGAAGCTGCAGGCTAAAGTTTAAATTTAATGAATATAAGTGAAATTTTGTAGAAATATTTGACTAGCTAGTTTGTGCAGCGCATTTCAATGGTACTTTAATCGAGTTCTTCCATAAGCTGACTTTCGTTTGCTTTAATATATAATTTAAGCTAAGCTCTTTGCAGATAGTTTCCAAGATACAGATACAGATGCATTTGTATGGCACATGCGAGTTATTAAAGCGCTTTAAATACTTCTAACTCCGTTTAGTTTTCCGGCGGAACCACTACTTCTGTTTATCGAAGTGAACTATGCATTTTGGGAGCCAAGTTTCCCTTTGTTGTTTACATTGTCAAATGGATTTGGAGCTGCCGTTTGCACCGCCG